TGTGATTTTTATCTCTTGGGAACATTCATCGAGGCCTGCATATATTTTTGGTTGTCCTGAAGAGGTGAGCGGTGGGATATGGTACTGGCATCTAGTAGGTAGAGGCCAGGGTTACTGCTAAACTCGCTACAATGTATGGGGTCCTCCCCATCCCCAACACACACACACACACAGACATATCCACCCCAAAATGACAATAGTGCCATAGTTGAGAAATGCTAGGCTATAGCACTTTTTGTTACGTGTCCCACTTCTTTAGGATTCAAAGGCAAACAGGAGTTTGAAGGCTTGGCAATGATCTTGTGATGTGAATGAAGCACCAAGATGATAGAAGAAGTCTGATTCCCTGACTAAAGGTTTAATCAATTGTCTCCTCTTGATTACGCATTATATGAAGCTAAATAAACTTTAATTTGCTTAATTCACTGATAGGCTATCTGATATTTCATAGGCAAATATATTTGTAAATGATACACATACTATTAATTTATGATCTATAATATATTCATCAGTGTGCCTAAGTGTTCTGAATAAAATAATAAATCAGACATGGCTTCTAATCTTTGACAATTCACTATCCAGTAGCGAAGACAGCCACCAAGAACATCAAAGGTGTCTACTTCTGGTAGGAGTAACATGTAGTGAGTACTCAGAGTAAAGACAAAGGAAGGAAGCAGGCTAAGGAAAAACAAGCCTAAGGTACAAAAGTGTGCTCTTCTGTGGTTGGAGGGTGTGTGCGTTGCGAGGTCCATGATGGATAACACAAGCAAAACACAGAACCCTGAAATGGTAACTACCATTTTGGTAAATAGTAAAAGACTTGTGAATGGACTAAAGAATAAATTGGAGAAGAATGTCAGGTAGAGGGTGTTTTCATCTAAAAATTGGAAGAGTTGAAGGCCATGAGGACTATGGACACTGCCAGTAAGCTATAAAGAATAACTGGCCATTATTAAACAGAGATCCACAAGATTAGACCCATATATTAGAAAAATAAATAAAAAGGTGCAATGTGTTGAACTCGGGTGGTTCTACTGATAATTACAATAAAATGGAGGAATCACATATTGTAACTTGCAATTTAATCAGACGGAAATAGACTTCAGGCTTTCACTTGAGAACTTCTTAAAGCACGGCAAAAGTATATTGTTAAACTGTTAAAGTTTCTACATTTTAACTCTGATTATGTTTTGCTTATAAAATCTAAAAATTCATATTTTCTGGGTAATTTGTGAGCTATTTCCTCAATGTAATTTTTTAAAAACTTCTAGAGAGAGACTGTTGCTATGCTTTGCTAAAAATGTTAAAAAATATTTTTCAAAACAGAAAAACTCAGAGAAATATGTTTCAACCATACTTTCCCCTGCATGACTATTTTCCCATACAAAGTTGTCAATAACATCAAAATTTGTAAGAAAGTTAAAAAAAAACAAAACAACGATCTTAGATTTTTGTTTGTATTCTCTAGTTTTGGCCACCTGATTATCCAATTTTTAAAAATGGTCTAAACAGCTAATTTAAGGAGAGGTGAAGGAAGATGTAGAAGTTGCCACTGGATAAGCGTGTGGAAGTGGTAAAAGTGGAATTAAATATGCCACATTCAGGTTTAAAAGAGAAGTTAGGGAGCAATTCAGGGAGCCATCCAGCCAAGCTGAGGCAGCTGAGCCTGCCTCGAACAACTTACAAATGGAGCACAACATGGAGTTGTCTCACAACCACCCTTCTGTGACAAAATATTTCACCTCAGCTTCAAAACAATCCACACAGTATATTTGAAACTCTAACTGGGCACAAACCGAAAACTTGACGAAATAAAGCTCACGGAGGCAATGAAGATTGACAGAGTGGCCGGGGGTGGGTGGGTAAGACATTGAAAAGGGGACTCTAAGGCAGCCTTTCTTACCCCAGACTCCAGCAACTCCGATACAGTGTGTGGAAAGATTGATTCCCTCGATTTCTGCTTATGTTAAGAGGATTGGAAAGACTAACCACAGAATAGCAGGCTTACAGAAAACACTCACTTCTTTTAATCAAACCGCGTAATCAGAAGGCCTGAGTAATGATTAACTTCCACTTTCTTGGTGAATCATTCAATCACTAGGCAATTCCAGTAGGCTTAGATTCATTCTCTGCCAAGGGCACGATAAACTTAAAGCTTTTGTACTTCGCATGTAATATTTTAAACGCATGCATGGCCCTTGCTTCTGAACTCATTTCAAAAGCTGGTATGCTGCTAGCTTACAATGGCTGATGATAATGTTAAGAGATTTTACAGGTTTTATAGTCAAATGTAGATACATGTACATTTTCTCAGTGGCATTTGTATATCTGTATCCAATTAATAATTGAGCACAATTAATTTTTGAGAAATGCATAAAGACGATAACTTCATATACAGAATAAGAACTCTAAGCAAGAATAGCCTACAGTAGTTTTACTATAAAAAAGAGGGCAATGAGTATATGAGCTATATATAAAAATGCAGAGTGATAGACACAGGGTTAGGTATCTAAATTCATATTTGCCAAGCCCTGCATGTGTTTCTGTGGCCCTTGCAAAGAGAAAAAAAGAAATAACACCTTTGTAGAGGCCAGCCCTTCACTGGAATAATCACAAGTGAATCCGATACTGGGCTCACAATTTCCCCATTTCTATCACATTAACAACCTCCCCCGGAATAAATTATCCTCAACTCAAAAAATCCTCAACCTCAATAATTTTAAATCCACGGCAGGTGGTTTTCCGTTTCTACTCACAAGGCATCGTGCTGCGGCAGGCAGGAGTCAGTGGAGAGCAGTTTAAATGTTTGGACTACCTTCTCTTCCCGGGAGAGTTTATTGCCCAATTCTGCATAATGTATTAGTTGCTCAACGCGGGGGATCTAAAAAGTGACATCTTGACTGGAACCACGCGGATCTGAAAACCACCTCACAGGTGACGTTGTGGGGAAGAGGATCAACTTTCCTATTCCTGTGAAACTACGAGGCGGAACCCACCGGAGATGGAGCCGGAGGGCCTGGGGAGAGAGAGCCTGAGGCTGGCCGAGGCTGCTCCGCGCTCGCGGGGGCTCAGGCGAGGCTTCGCTTCTGGAGGCGGCATTGTTCCTCCATCTGCTCAGACTCCGCGTTGGCCAGGAAGCCCTCCCCGCACGCTGTAATCTGTTCTTTCTTTCGTGGGTACCTCTCGGACGATCTCCCAGCTCGGGTCTCCGGTCCCAGGGCACAGCTCTAGGGTGAAAAGCTGCAGTGACGGGGGCGCCGCTCTAAGGATTTGGAGACCACTGCACCGGTCCGCCGAGCTCGGCCAGCGCGCGCCGCGCACTCCCCTCTTGGTCGCCGCTCTCCGGGTCTCCC